GCAAAAAAAAAAAAAAAAAAAAAGAGAAAAAAAAAAAGAAAAATAAAGCAAAAAGAAAAGAACAATGTTTGAAAAAGCGCGTGCACATCGCTCGCCGCGCATCTCTCTTTTATATATATATATATATATATATAATATAATAATTATACATAGATGATACACATACACACAATGAAGAGAGAAAAAAAAAACACAGACAAACAGAGACACTCACACGAATGATTATTATTACTATTATTATTATTATTAATTATTATCGAAGCATCAAAATATTCATAAGTTATATCAACCGTTTGTTTCTCGAACAATATATGTTTTTTCTATATCTCTCCGTATTAAAGCAAATAATAAAAAAATCTCTCAGTGAATGTTAAGAAAAAGATAAAAAAGACGAAAACAAAGTAAAAAAAAAAAATATATATATATATATACGCTCTCTGGTTCTCCTCCTCTTTGCCACAACCCCGAGACAACTTATCTCTGTTTCTCCCTTCTTTCTTTCCTTTCTTACGATCGTTTAAGTTTCACATATATATATTTATGCCGTTTAAAATTTTCATTTTTATTTCGCAATAAATATTGTTCGAAAATCGTACAGATCGTTAGACTGGAGAATTATCCTGTGAATATGCACCACTTTGCCTTCTCAACCTCGTAATGTACATCTCCTACCCTTTCTTTCTAGGTGCCCTAAACGTTTTCGTTGTCTTCACGATCAAACTGATGCTCGTGATGCATCGACGTTTCGTGTATTTAGGTCTCGTTTTATGCAGCCATCGCGTGCATTTACAAAGACGCAAGCTGGCCGAGACTACTTTTAGAATATGGCCAATCGTGCGCAAAATGGAACTTTACCGAGCCGAGAACGGAAACTACATTACACACGGATCGTCGTCTGGAGAAGAAAACATGAACCAGCACGCCCTAAAAAAAAAAATTCGTCAACGTCCCGCATCGTAGAGGCACCCAGTCGAGACGCGGCCAAAGAAAATCTGAACAACCTGTATCGTCGACTACAACTCTATCCACCAGAACATCGTGATAACAACGAACTCAGTGAAAACAACCCCGTAAGAACCCGCTTCTCTCCGCGCGTTAGAGCTACTGGTCATGTTACAACAATTATTCATCGCCTCTTCGAGAACCATCGGATAATACTCGTTCCAGAATGCCAGCGCTCTGTAATCGATGGCGTTTGGATCGCTCATGGCGATGTTCTTATCGATGATGCAGATACCGGGCTCTTCCTCGGTATACGGTTCCCACTTTTGCTGACCTGGATTGCCAGTCTTGGCGAAGCTAGCCAGCATCGCCATCATCACGTCGGCCATCCTCTTGTCAGAGTTGATCCACTGAACGGCGCTGCCAGCCACTGGAAGTCCCCAAACGAACGGCAGCTCGAACATGTGAGGGACTCCGGCCCATTCCGGCACATCCTTGATCACCGACGGCGTCTTCGGCCTGTAGTCGAACCTATAAACGTACGCCGGCTGCTCCTTGGACACCTTGCCAGCCAGTAACGTGAGCCCAGCTGCGAAATTCTTCTCCGTTTGCAGATCCAGGTACCTGTCTCGGAACACACCTTGATCCTTGCTCGGCGGATGAGGCTGGTAAAAGAACAGCACCGCCTTGGCCACCATTTCCGGCTTCAGCTCGCAGGTGCTGTTGTCCTCCGGGCTCTGGACCAACGACACGAACTCGTCAGTGATCAGCGTCTCGAAGTTGTTGTGCGACAGCTTGCCATCCGGATTCTCCTTGTCCACGGACTCCATGTAAGCCAACGCCTGTTCGTTGTTGGTGTAGCCGACCATCAAAGGAACCGGGTTCAGAGTGCCGCTGTCCAACGCGTTCCGCGGATGTACAGGTAGAAACGGCTCTGTGGCGTTGCTTGTCTCGTAATCGACGATCGGGCCCCAGGTCTCGATGTCCGAGGACTCGCGTACCAGAATTTTCACGTCCACCCGGCGAAGACACTCCATCAGCGCCGACGTCGGATGCCGGTAACAGCCGAACTTCTCGGCGATGATGTCGACCACCGGCAGCTCGGTCTTAGGCGAGCCGACCGAGCTCACCGCGTCGCCGCTCATCGCGATCGCTTTGGAGAACTTGCCCCTGCTCAGCGGGCTCGTCAGGTGCAGGCCGACGCTTATGGCGCCGGAGCTGTGGCCAAAGATCACCACGTTGGACGGTGAACCGCCGAAATGATGGATCCTCTTCTGGATCCAATCCAGCGACGCTATCTGGTCGAACATCCCGTAATTCCCTGGAGCCTCGCCGTCGGTGGTCGTGAAGAAACCAAAGATGTTAAGACGATACGCCACAGTGACCATTAAGATCTGAGAAGAATGATTAACACGCGTTAGAGTTAGAGATCTCGAGGAGTCCTTTCTTTGTCGAGAAATCGAGAGGCAATATTGTTAAACGGAGATAGGTTAAGAGTTTTTAAAGTTACATGTTCCTTCATAGAAGGGTTAGGATTGTTCAACAGCGGACGAGACTTTTCTCTCAGCCGGTGATTTTCTTTTTTTCCCCCCTTCTTTCGCGTGTCATTCGTTCGACTTCCTGTAGATCAGATTTTTAGAAAGAGAGAGAGAATGAGTAAATGAGTGTGTGTGTAAAAGAGAGAGAGAGAGAGAGAGAGAGAGAAGAAAAAGAGCTTCAAGAAAAGTTAGGATGGATGTGTCACGAGTCAACCTATACGATTCATTTTGCTTTTGAGACAGTACGTTTAGATAGGGAAATGTTTATAAGGTAGATTATTAATATTGTCTATATAAGATTTTCTATTATAACGTCGTTTTTACATTGCTTTGTAAGACTATAAGAATGAATTAGTAGTGGTTAGATGAAGTTCTTAACGATATAGTTAGATTATACGAAGGTCCCTTGTATTACTGTATAATACATCGTTGTACGTTTCTATAACAATTTTTAAGAGTCGTTAAACGTATCTTCCCCTCGTCGAATAACGAATTCCTCCCCTGTTAAGAAAGTAATGTTTCTTTTCTTGTGGCTGTTGTTCCTGGATTAGCATTCGCAGCGTACACCTAAACGGTATGCATCATGAATGAACCCTGTTGGCCGGCGCGTTTCCAAAAGGTTGGATTTACCATCGGTGTATCCAAAGCACGCGAAGAAACATCCTAATTTCGTTCGATTTCCTGTCGACTTCTAACGTTCAATCCTGATTGACTCGCAATCTGCAATTCCTTTCTACGATATATATGTACAGGACACATAAGGTCAAGAGTTTTCGCTTGCCAATCACAGAAACGTCCTTCCAATGTAAAAATACTAAAATACTTAGGCTTGTTAAATTCTATTAAATAATCTGAAAAATTGTAAAACAAAATACACACACACACAAACACACACACACACACACGTGCGTGCATTTAAATTTTCCTTCCTTTATTTTCGACTGGCTTCACTCTTTTAGATTCCTATTCTTTATTATATACATATATATATATATATATAGTAGATAACTGAAACAACCCTGTACATGTAATTTCATAAGAATTGTTATAAAACGATATGTGATCATTTTTTGAGATCCAGGTTACTTAGTAGAGTGGAATATTGTAATTTTTGGAGTTTTTGTAGAATCTAATATATTTGTTGAGCAACTCACTTTATGTTTACTGACGAAAGTCGACGCATCCCATATGGCCGGTGTGCCAGTGTTGAAGTCACCACCGTGAAACCACACCATCACTGGCCATCCATCGTCTTGTTTGTTCCCTACGAGAAAGAAATATCGAATTAAATACAGTATTTACATCTGAACGACGACAATTCGCAATTTTCAAACATCTGTATAATTTCGAATTAAAAAAAAAAAAAGAAGAAATCTCTGTACGTTTCCCATTATCATTATTCACTGTAGAAGCTGGTTCTAATCCACTGTGGTGGATTTAGAAAATTGTTGTTCAGAGAGGAAGAAACGAGCAACGATTGTTGGAAATTTGACGACGTCACTTCGAGGCTGCATCCGCGAATTCCAAAGATCGCGAAGAACGCGTGCGTGCTCGCAAGTATGTACCCTCGTTTCCGGTCACACTGGTGAATCGATCGTGACAGAATTTGCATACCGTCAGCCTACGCCGCTGATGAGTCGTCTTGAGTCACTTCGGAATTACCGAATCCTCGGAAATCGATGAAGATTTGAACTGGTAGTGTCATTGAAAAACTCTGACAATTTTGAAAAGATTGCAAATACTTGGAGATGTATATACAAGGATACCAACGATCCAAAGATTTCAGAAGAAATCCCAAGAGAAATAGATCCTTCTACCTTCAATTTTACAAATTCATTGGCCAAATACACGATCAAAGTGGCTTCTGAATGTATCCGACATTGATTATTCAAAAAAGCCAGAATATGCGTCGACCTCTTGCACTAAAATAACGTGCCGTGCACGTCGGGAATTCTTTTTGTTCCAAAATTGTAATATCTTCCCGGTTTTAAGTATATTTAAGTATATTTAAGTAATAAAAAATTTATTACTTCTCAGTAATTTCTATCCAGTGACATCGTACCGACGAGTTCAAAAGAAAAAGAAAGCGACGAATTGTATACACGGTTCGGTCACTCGTTATGGTCCGCAATCAGTTGCCAGCGCAAGGAGTTAACCTCTTGCGCTGGAATTTGTCCCAAAAATGCAATATTTTCTCACTGTTAAGTATATTTAAGTGCAACTCAGGCAAAACAGATAATAAATTTATTACTTTTCAATAATTTCTATCCAGTCGTGTTATAACAATGGGGACGAGTTCGAGAAGAAAGCGACGAATTTATTGTGTACGATTTTGGTCACTCGTTATGGTCCGCAATCAGTTGCCGGCGCAAGTGATTAAAGGTCCATTTGAACTTTCAGTTTCAGTTTCATTCGGCTTTCAGGAAAAGTTGAAACACTTTCATCAAGCTTTCGGTTAAACGAAAAGCGACGAAGTACGAAGCCTTGTCTGCCACGGGGGCTATCGTTTGAATAATTAATTTCAGCGATTTCCTCCAAGGGTCTGTACGACGTGTGGCGTGTGGCCGGTTTTTGAAGCGTGCCAAGGTCGAGGAAAATTCAGGCCATTGCTCGACGGGATGTTTCAGATGGCGCGATAAGCATGAGCGTATGGACGATGGAGGTTCGGTAGCCGGAAGTTTGGCCTGGTCATCGTTATCGGTGGCCCCCCTACGATGGCGTCTGAATCGTCCAGGAATAACCTCTCGCAGGACCGCCACGACGACGATTCATTAAACGCTTATCGTGATTGCACACGACACGAATCTTCTTCCAAGTCAGTGTCTGACTTGTTGGTTCAATGGAAGAATTTGGTTTCTGACTTTTGGAACGTTTGGAACAGATCAGGTGAAGAGAAGCTGCACCTGGAACTGATATAAAACATTGATGTTTTATAGAGTTAAATAGGATTGAGATTTGAAGAGATTATTGCGAACTCTTGTGTTGTATACTTAAAATTGAAGTCGGATTTAAATCGGAAGCTCGAAGGTTCACATTCTCTGCCTTTGAACTTAAAAGAGGATCTAGAAGATTCTATAGTCAGTTCTAAAAATAAAGACTATATTTACATCATCCAGCGCAACCTTAAAGGTATTTCACTTCGAAGTTCGTCTAAGCATACGTTTACTATATATATATAGTTCTAAGTATATGAAACACAACTTAGCCCTCGTACAATTTGTTATCAATTCATAAAAAGATGTCGATAGGAACTAATGAATAATTGCTCATTTCATTCAAGGTTAAACTTCAACTTCAAAAATTGCCTACATTGGAGATGTGCTCTCTTAAATTCGTGAGACTTTGAAAAACATTCTTTCTTTGAAAAAATTTAAACTTGAAGAAAAAAAAAAAGAATACGACAAATAGTGAGATTCGGCGACGGTGGCAAGGCCAGGGGGTAGTCAGGACAGAAAGCGACGAAGGTAGTTTCGTGACCGGCCTCAACAGTATCTTAACATCTCGACCAACCCTAAAAGATCGCGTGCCACGACGTGCGCCAGTTACTGTTACTCTTGCTCCTTGTTGTTTCTATATTGACCGGGGTCGGCTTTGCGGGATCGACACGATTTCCCGATTCGTCGGCTGTCCCCTATCCTATTTTCCCCCTTTTCGAATCGGCCACCGTGACACGCGTACCTTGCACACGTTCGTTTCTTCTTAAACCCGCATACAAGGTGATTCGTAACTTCTATGAGATACATACTGCTCTTCTACATGAGTCGAAGTGGATGATATACTTCAATAAATATAATATTTCATGTACTGTCTCATGTGCACGTGAGATGTCCCAAAAAAGAAAGTTCTATCTGAATAAACACAAAAGCGAAAGGAAATCTGTTCTTCCAAATCAAGCCTACAGGACCCTATTGGTAAAAATCATTTTCCAGGAAATTTTTCACTAGAAGGTCCAGTTCGGGATTGATTAGATGCTACAGTCATACACGAATGCTGTAGATGGATTTTAAAAATTGTGTAGTATGATTAGATACTAGCGTTCCCAGAGTAATAAAACGTTATTTAAACCAACCTGTATAATATCATGTAATTTGGAAGTTTCTTTTCAGCTAGATCTCAGATACGAGTTTCTCCTACTTTAAGAAAGTAAATAACAATTAATCTATGCGACGGTTATGAACTTGTTCCCGTAAACGAAATTTAGCATTTCATGGAGCCATGAATTACGTTTCTTGGATTAATGTACATTGTCGTAAACCTAAAATGGTTTTCTAAATTTATCCTCTGCCAGCTCAGAATTTCCAAGCTAATCGGTCCCATGAATCTAGACGTGTTTCACTACGTTCCTGACCTCTCCACCTCGTCGATGAAAAGAGTGAAATATTTAGCAAATTGGCAATGATTGCTGTCATAAACCTGTCCCGTGTGATTGATCATAGTGTTTCTTTTCCATTATTTATCTTTCACACCGATCACCGAATCCTTACTTTCTTCACTCTGTTATGCAATCTCGTCCTTCATCATCCTCTTGCTATTGTGACAGCTTGTTTCACTTTGTTTTTAGTACTTCATGAAACTTTCATACAGGGTTTCATGCAACTGTATAGACAAAAAGGAGCCATAGTCCTCGACCTATATCGTTTGTAAAAAATTTCATAGCCAGCGGTTTATCAAGGATTTTCCTAAAGTACGCGAAATTACAGCGTTTAAGTTTCCCACTGCTTGATAGCAGCTTGTTCAACCAGTGTACCGAACTAATCTCGACCATCATTGCGCAAGAAGCATGTAATATGTCACCTAGACAGTAATCTATACCTGGTAAGTGCTATCAATGAAATCAGAGGTATTACCCCCATCTGTATCATGCTCAATCTGTGTACGCTCGTTGAAGTCTGAACTCTGAAAAGAGCAAAATAAAGTAAGCAAAAAAATGTATCTGTGTCAAATACTTTGGCGAGAGACTTTATTTCATACTACCGGTGTAGTAAATTGATTGAACGATTGTAATCATAATTGAACATATTTCTGGTTAAGAGAGGGCTTGGTTGATACTACCTTTGATAACAATTGAAGGGAAAATACACGTTTTTTAAATGCACGTTGGCACGTTCTTTCAGTATCGACTAAGGGTGATTTCTTTTGCGATTTATGAGTGGCACAGCGCACGAGACATCCGAAATTAGTTGAAAATGATGTGGCTCGTAATGCCGCTATTACCTTAGTCCTTAACCGACATCCTAAAACAACCAGATTTACGTACTGCCGACACGCAGGTTCTCATATTTATTGTCAATTGAGAAATTGAAACGGGAAGTTGTTTGATAGGTCGCAGTCTCTGCTTTACATAAAATGTATAAACAAAAATTGCAACAATTATTCGATCAATATGTTGTGGGTACATAGTTTTCTGAACGAATAGTAGGATAAAAGTGGGAGGTATACTGCTCGACGACCTTGAATACTCTACTGTTTTCGAACAAGCTGTAGATGAACTTTTTAGCAGCCATTCTTTATCTTGGTATCTTCAACAATTCTTGTAATTTACAGAAATAAAAGGAATCTAATTAAAGAATTATTCTCCTCAAATCGTCCGCATACATAGCGTGTATAAATGATGTATAGCGAGTATAAATCTTCTGTCGTTTCTAAATTAATTACAAAATGAAGATCAAAGAAACCTCCAAGCTGTAACACTCAAGAAACACTTTGAAAAACGTCGCTAGAGACTTTTTTTGCAATCAGCTCCCAATTTCAAAGCAAATGACCTTAAACGAGTAACTTGCACCAATTTCCCTGGAACTGAAACTGAAATGACTCTTCAAACAAAACTCTACCATTGCGCGCGCAGCGTTATGAATTTTTCGCGCGAATCTGATACGAAGAAGAGGAGGAAAAATGGTACACAATAGCAAACATACATACGAGAGAGAAACAGACGTGTAACAGAAGAAATAAATTCTTTTCCTCAGTACTCGACCAGATTCTAATCGATTTTTCTTCGAGGCTGGATGGACTTCTTTACACAATGTGTCATCGAAGACAGAGAAAACGTGCCAGTGATGATCGTCATTCGCGTGTTACAGAAGTGTTGAGCTCAAGCGAGACGGAACAACTCACGTGTCCGAGAGTGTTTCATCGAGTGTGTAATTATCAACTTCACCTGGAGTTACGATTACATCGTTCACGAGTTGGTAAACGCGATTCCAACGTTTCCTCTCCAGCTAATAGCGCACGCGTCGCCACAGAGTTAACGAGGATCGTGGAAAATAAAGTCCCTCGTTGATTCAGAATTTTTTTGCACGGTAAAGGCTGTTAAAAATTGCTTGTTCCTTAGAATTCCTCGCTGTTCCTTATGATTCTTATAATTCTTATTGAAAATGAAAGCCGTGGCGACACATAAGCAACATAAATTAAAGCGTTGCCTGGTTGATCAAATTTTCTATATTTTTGAAATTATTCCAATTGATTGTTAATCCTGTTCACCTTTATATTCTTTCACTTCGTAGCGAGAGTACTTAAGTTTCAGAGAATTTCTATTCTTTTCTTCTGTTCTTCATGCTAAAATCTCTAAAAGTTGTGGATGTTAAAGTAGCAAATGTGAAAATACAAGAACAGATAAGGAGATAATTGAGGGTTTGTGATAGTGAGAGGGTAGGTTTCAAATGAAATCGTCTTTCTAGTCTTAAGTAATCAAATTTTCGCTTGCCATCGGGAGTAAAGATGTTCAAGTACAGACAATCCTCGCTAACACCAGGATCAGGCTGATCAGGCGACAGCAGCTTCTTATAATGTTTCTCGTGAAGTTTCAAGCGGTTTGTTATTTGTTGGCAGGACGGCGCGAACTGCGTTGCATTTCGTATGCCCTTCCAAGATGGAAGTGGGTCGGTAACAGGTGCTGAGAAACGCAATTTTCCTAGCGGTGGCTGGGCATAAGGTATTCCCAAATATTGTATCACTTTGGAATTAACGAACGCCTGTAACAAGAGAAAAGTTCATTTTCTAATTATTTGTACTTTATTATTTTTATTTTCTAGTTGTTTGTTCAAAGACAAAAATTAATACTATTTAAAAAGTATCAGGGATTAGTAGAACGACGCCAATTTTGCATTTTTTGAGTTAAAAGCCAGAAAAGTTAAGGTGTTACCAAATATTGTGTCACTTTTATGGAATTAACGAGATGACCTGATAACGCGAGAGAAAACGACACTGTTCTTCTTAATTATTTATTCAAAGGCAGAAATTAATGCTGCTTAAGAAGCATCAATGATCGGCAGGACGACGTCGTTTTGCATTTTGGAGTGGAAAAACTGGAAATGTAAAAGTAAAACTGGAAATTAGAGGGAAATTAATAAAAGTTATGAAGGCTATGAAATTGGAGAAATATGAGAAATTGTGATACTACTACAATTGATCCATAGTTCTTGAGTTGAAACTTTTTGACAAAAAAACAAGTACCTGCATCATGGATAATTTTATGAGAAATCTCGCGTTATTTACTGAGATTACGATTTCTAAGGTAAAAGTTGAATACCGTGGGGCTATTTCTCGACGAAACATGAATTTACGCGTGACAAATTACCCTTCTGTGTATAGTCAGGGATAATCACACAGGGTGGACGTCAGTCAAACATTCGAAACTCTTGAACGTCACATTTCAGTTCGAATTGTAATGTAATAATTGTACATTTGATTTTTTCCTTCACGGACAATTAAACGCTTAAATTACATTACTCATAATTTGCCTAACGTCCCGTGATTTTTATTGACGTGGCCATTTGCTGTTTTTCATCGCGCAGAGAATAACGACGCGGAATGGAAGTTTCCTCTCTTTCTAAGAGTCCTTTTTTTTTTCTAACTTAATCTCGATATTTCGTGCGACACAAAAATGCTTAAATAATTACGATGCAATTTGCCAGATTTTTTGTCGTTTAAAAAAGAATCACAAACTCAGCGCAGAATTAATAAAAAGAGAGGAAGGAAACTTAGTTGGAATATCCAGTTATTCGCAAGAAACAAAGGAACACGTGAAAATGCATAATTATGCACGAGAACGAAGCATATATATCGCAAGTTTTTCGAGCTTTTTCTTAAAAAAACATCGCACGAGAGTCTTTCACGAGAACGGAGAAAGAAAAAAAAAAGGTGGGAAAGAAAGGAGAAAGAAAAACTGGCGTACTAGTATTAAAATTCATAAATGTTGGCCCGGTTAAGTATTCATCGTGCATATTATCTGCATATTTTTAGTTGGAACAATTGAAAGTTACAATGCTTGCATGTTATCGTTCGTCATACGGTTGAAATATCAAATTCTTGTTCAGATGCGGCTTTCTTCGTCCAACGTACACATGTGCGACAGTGATATATGCGTTTCCGCTATACAGTTCTCATTCTTTATGCAAAGATGACGTTATTAAAAACAAAACAAAAAAAAAAAAATCGAAAAAATGGAGCGATAGTTCAAACGGTCAGAAACGTAGTAAAATACCAAACCATGAAGATTTATCAGATTTCCTTACGAATGATCTTTCTAATGAATATTCAAAAATATGGAGGGAACGAAGTAATTTTAAGGCGTGACCTTTCGACTCGAATTTACACGATCATTTTACGATGTTGTTAAAAAAATATGAAAAAACGGGACGATAGTTCAAATGGTCAGAAACACAGTGAAACGATTATATTAATATTTATATTTAATATTTAGAAATATTAAAAAAATAAAGCGGATAATTCTAAGAGATTTTTCAACGCAAATTACACTTCAAACTTTTTTTTGTTTTATCACTTGCTGGCCAATCTAACACATTTATATAAAAATTATAGAATATAGATCTTATACATTATACATCTTATGTACAGTCAGTCAAGTGTGACAGACTTTTAATATTTTTCATCTTTTTTAAATTACACGCATTCTACGCATTTTTTTTTATCTCCAACTTTCCTATAAATTCATAAAAATCTTCAAACTAATTCCAATATATTCATAAAGGATTTCTACAAGCGTTTGAATACTTTCATTGAGCTTCTATACAAGAAGAATTAGTATACAATAATATACTGCCGCTCAAAAGTCTTAGAACACTTTTATTTTTAACATCCAATATTTGCTCTAGATCGTGCATGTGAATGTTACTAATATATTAATATTTTACAAGTTCTCTGTTATATAAAATATTATCTATTCAATTGTTCCCATTTTGAAGATACATTTCAAGATTTTGTTCCAAGACTTTTAAGACGTGGGTGTATAAATGGAAATAAAATCGTCGCACCTCCTTGCCAGCGACCAATCCTTGGTCGGGAATCTTGACGATTGGCTGTTCTCGACCCAGACCCTGTCTGGCCGGGGTCCTCTGACCAACAATTTGTGAAGTGGTGACCGGTAACACGGCGAAGAATCGCGGGAGCAACGCGAAAAGCAGCCACGCGGCACACTTCATTTTGCAGACTGATTTGCCACGGAAACAATCGGTGGCTTGGCTCTGGGGTCTCGGTTCAATCCTCGCGTGACTTGAGTCGACCACCCTCGCCTCGGCAAGTTTCTCGTCTGTATGTGTTTCGAGGCCTGCGCTCTTTCACCTGCGGCTTTCTTGCGTCGTTCAAAGTCTCTTGTTAAGCCATGGGTGCACCCCCTTTTTGGTTAACGCCAAAGGGTGTTTTAGTCACCGGAGGATAACATTGATTTCATCGTGGTACAATCCTCACATTCCAACTTCTCGTTCTGTTTAGCAAATATTTTAAGCAAATATTTTAAGATGCATTATTATTTATTTTTATTTATTCGATATTTCTATATTTCTTTTACGCGTGTTATCTTCTATGCTCTGTATTTCAATATTTTGTTCTGTTCTGTTCTTTAAACATTCTTTTTGTAGTATTCACTGCATTCAAGTAGTATCTTAGATCTGTAATAAATATAAATGGATTGGGTGTTCAATTTGGTGAGGAGAAATAGAATTTGGTGAGATGTTGAAGGACCGATTTGAGATGTGCTTTGGAATATTAAGTTCAATCTTGGGAACAATTGCTTTCTACGAATAAGTACGTATTTTTTTTGGTTTTTATAATATTCTTCTCTTTTGTGTATTCGTTATGTAACAAATTATATAACAAATTATATAACAAAGTAATTCCACATTGAAATTTGTACATCACTTACGTTTTATTTATTTTTTTATGCGATGTAGTATCAGTACTTAATTGTCACGCAAGTGCTATACTTACGTCACATCTAAAATATCAAGATCGTGTCGATGTTTTTTACACTTACAATTTACTATTCTAGAGCTACGTAAATCTACGCAAAATTCATGTACACGCAACCAATTTACGCACTGTATTCTAAAAAGAACATTGTTAAAAATGTACCTAATAAATATGTAATCTTCGACATTCTTAACATTAGTGTATCAGTGTTAATTTTATCAAGATTTGTGAAACGACTATCTTTTCAAAGTTTCATTAAAGTTGTCCTTCAGTAGAATAACAATTACACTTGCATTATTTAGCTTTTCTAAAACGCGCCATAAAATATTAGTTGCAATATTCATAGTAATAAACCTCTGCACTTTTGAATAGTAAATCTATATTATCTTCGTTAAATACAATTTATTAGATTTGCAACACTCTAAAAATGTGAGATCTGTCGTTTCGACGTAATTCTAGAAAAACCAAAATGATCCCTAAACGAACAGTGAGTGTTCCTACTTTTCAATCGTTTATCGCGCATTTAATTTCGATTGGATTGATCCATACGCAGAAACGGGCATTTCCAATATCCTTCAATTTTCTTAAGTGAAACTTCAGCCGGATCGAATGTTATTTCCAGAACGTATAGATTCACCGGGCGATAAAGGGTGGAAAAAGACAGAGAGCGAACGTGGAAAGGAACCGCGGAATAAACGAGTGATTGAAAAGGGTGGCGGTTAGCGTGACCGCAAAAATCGAACGAACAAAGAGATAATGAGCGGGGGGCATTAGATAATATGCGCGTCCAACATAGGTGAAAGGTGATATACTGTAGTTTACAGGTTGATGGTGACCAATTAGGCCGATGAATTCAGGGTTGCGAACAGTCAAGCCCGTGGGAAGACTAAACTATCGAACGTGACCCAAAATTTCCTTGTTAACCTTTTGTAACACCGTATGATTTTTAAGTTTCGTATCATCGTACATTTTTTCTTGTATCCTTTCTTCCATGTATACATTTTACCAATACTTATTGGAAATAAATTATTTGATACTGTTAGAATAATATAATAAAATACACAATATAGCTGTGAAGAAATAAAATAATCCTTAGAAATATAAGATACACATATGTATATATGCATTAAAATATATATTAAAAAATACAAAAAGAAATATATATATATATATATATATATATATTTACAAAATACATACCTGTATAAACAGTTCCTCAATCTCTCCCAAAACACTTGCATATGAAAGGAAGAAAAAGTTAATTATGAAAATTTTATTCAAATTTAAATTTCCTGTGCTTTACGGGCAATTGTTTGACATCACGTAAACGCAACTTAATTATACCGCCTCTTTTGCATTATTCAAAATCCTTGCTTATCTGAAAATGCAAAACTAAATCAGAAACTCTTAATATTATGCATTATATGATACATAACCTATTTCTATCAAATCAGGCTAAATAAACTGCGACCAGTATAAGTACTTTCGTTCAAACAGTAATTACGTGGACATAGTAGGTATGTGCCCTTGAAAATCGATATGCTAGAGGGTCTTTCGCCCCTGTAGCATGGTACACCTTCATTAAAGTATGCTTTCATTAAAATACGATCGTGTTAATATCGCCATCGTGGCCTTGATCTTGAAGTTTATTAAAAGATGAAAGGTTGTTCTCTTGAACATTCTAATTTTTAAAAATAAATGAAAAATCTTTATTAAGAACTTAATTAAACAACATTGTGGAGGAAGATCGTTGCTCTTAAGACGAAAACATTCATCGAAAAGAGATTCTTTATACACATATTCTCTAACTCTTGTCCAATACCTTGTAATCATATACTTACTTCACTTTACAAACAGAAATTTATACGTTCAAATTATGCAAGTATCTTCATTATTAAAAGATGAAATGAGAAATGAAAGAATTAAAAATACGTAGATTACTTAAAATTAATGCACAAGTTCGGCTTTTCCGCTTAGAAAAATTTAAATTCGATGCCTGAGATCGTCGCGCCACATGTTGCCTCGAAGAAGTTTTTGCAAGTCCCTTATGGTAAAAAGATTTCTGCACAATCGGTAACGAAGGTGGATTCGTTAAAATCGCAGACGTGATGCAATATATATATATGTACCTCGTCTGTGTCAATAGTATTAAATACTAAATTATACGCGAATTCGATTTTATAATATTTCTAAATTACAAAGCTTTTTTAAAAACTTTTTTTAAAATAACTTCTGTCGCGCATGCGTATTGAACGAAAACTGATGGTGGGGGAATAGAATTTAAACTTATTGTTAGTGGGGGAAAGTTACTGTTAGTCTATGTACGTCTCTTATTCGACCGTTTTGTACCGCGATTCGAGTTTGCTCGCGATCAAGCGCAAGTACTTATTTAACCGGAAATAATGCAGATTGTAGGTATACACACCTCTCTTAAACAATCACAAACATGTTTTATGTTGAAATATACAATGTATGCAACGTTTTATTGTATATTATTTCGTCGAAAAAGTTTCCGACAATCCTACGAGAATTTCATCCAAAAAATAACAATAAAAAATAATCGCGATTGAAAGCATTAGAAAATATAATTGTTTAGTTTCTTTATATAATAATCTTTTACTTTTATGTAATAATAAACTTTGTTTTCTTTTACTTGAAAGAAATATTCAAAAATTCGCGAGTAATCAAACTTTAACGGATTAGGCCGCCATGTTGTGACGTCACGCGGTTCATAATTTTTGGCGGTTATTCTCTCCTACCGCTTGTGGGTGTTAGAAAGTATTCTGTCTCGATATCGATTTCTTTCTATAATACAGTTCACAAAATACAACCAGATTAGTAACATCTTACAAACTAAAACTCATTCGATTATCCAGTCTTAAAAACGAGTCCCCATAATGATAAATTGTTTGAAAAAATTTCCCTAACCTATAATACGTAACTTGTTCAATAACGTGTATTATTAGTTGGCAAGTCGTTGCACAGAAAGAAAGACCTGCTAGCTAAATTAAGAAACTAAGAAATCAAGGAAATAGACGAATTTATTTTCTGAATGATTCAATTGAGTCGTCCGCCAAAAACATTGCTTCCCCTTCTGAACCGCACAGTTCCGAATAAACGTGAACCTGTTTCCTAATATTTCCAGTTACGTATCGTCCTAAAAGTCACGCGAACGACGGCGCGGGAATACCGGAAAAAGGCGCAACACGAAGCAACGTCAGTGATGCCAAAGCAGGCGGGCGGTGGCGCACTGTGAAAGGTTAAAAATACATATTCGATGCTCCTAATTCAATGACCGGCCGGCGTACGACGATTTATGTAGTAGTGCTTCGTTAATTGGCCGTGTGTCGCCGCTTTATCTGGCCAATTATCGAGGGTGGTACGTGTACTTCTAAGAAATCTCAAGTATTTACTTTTTCTCCAGCGAGATACAGATATTTATGATATATGAATGTTACTTGTTTACCCGTGCTTTAAAAGTACTTGATTAGAGTAGAAGAGTGCATACTTAGTGCTAAGTTACTAAGCTACTTATAATATACAGTAAATTGAATTTTCTGTAAATTCGTTTTTAGCTATCGGTGGGGATACGGACGGCCAACAATGGAGACAAAATCATGGCCAGTAAACGCGACACTGGTGCACACATGAACGGCACGGCGTTCGCTTCCATCGGAGAGGACAGTCGTTGCATTGAGCAACTCGCTGGCGAGCAGAGCGGAGGAACGCTTGAGCAGAGAGCGAACGGTTTAGTGTATGGGTTGGTGGCGGCTGTTTGCCGATTCGTTGACTTGCCGGCACAGTCGGTCGGCTCGGGTCGAAGGCTGCTGCTCTCTCAGTCCGTCTCGCGACCGCGTGCCAAAGGGATGTCGTTTCTCCACTTCCCTCCGACATCTCGGCTAACTCATCTGAAATAACCGATCCATGTATTTTTTGCCCTTTCTCGCCGATCGGTTTATCTTCTGAGAGATCTCCGACGCGCCAAATAAATCGGTGGCGCGCACGCGAGACATGTGACGTGCGTTGGACGAGTCGATATTAAGAGATAGTATTTGTAAGGACGATTTTGTGATTGTGTAAAATTCCATGGACCAGTGACAACGAGAGGAACATCCATCGTTGATTCTGTGACTGTTCGCTGGTAAAGTCGAACGATTTGATGCGACGAGATGGGTAGCGAGGCGGACGCGGAGACCACGACTGCCAACGCCGTGGATTCGGATGGATCCGTTAGCTGGGAGGACTTTTTCGGTAAGTTTATCTCCCTTGATCTGTCTACGTTTCGTACATGCTTTGGTGATTGTGAAAATTGAGTCAGAAGTTTACAAGAGTTGAACTTATCTTTTAGGTTATTGTGTGGATCTGCAATAACCCCAAAGTATTCAAAATATGTACTTCTCGATATGAGAGCATTTTTGTAAAATAGCCAAGTACACAACTATAGTGATTCTGATACATTTATGATATTGCTAAATAACAAATGATTATTTATTCTGTTATGTGTCGTCAGATGGTAGTAGATATAACTAAAGAAGAATATTCATGAATGAATGTTTCTTTCTAACTTGTAAGATGTACAATTAATTTCCAATACAGTCTGAGACTTGAGATTTCTTAAGAAAATTACTTGCAAAAATCTACAATCAAAGAAAAGATTCAAGGCTATCGAAATAGTATTTAGTTATATACAAGACTGCATTCATAATCACCAGCACATGTTTCTAATTACAGCTTATATGCATACGTATATATATATATGTATTGATATGCGTGTATTGCATGCTTAGTGTGTTTCGTTTGGATTTATACATGTGTATGACAACAATACCTAACTATTAGCATTGTTAATACAATCTCACAGAGATTGTAACGATAAAGTCTCTGGATTGACACGAAACAATAGGAAATATGAAAGATTGTAGAGTTCTTTTAATTCTGTGGCCATCATTCCTTACAGTTACAGACGAGTAACAGTTTTTCAGGTTTCTGCAATGTTGTTTGAAGTCGGCCGCGCGCCGGCGTCTTTCTTTTTTTTTTTATCGCCGGCACGTGCGTGGCTATTGTTAGGTTATACGTGGACGTTATTACGAAACGATAAACAATGCGAATGAGACGCGGTCTTCGCTAACAGGGAAATAACACTTCAAATTGAGTTTCATATAACAAAAGGCGCGAACGATTCTGTTGTTTTGTGTCGATGATAATTCACGAACGGTAGCGAAAAGGAACCGCCAATCATAACCGCTGTAACGTAAACGATCGTCGCGTGTTTATTGTCTCTAATGCAATCGCGCGTCCTCTTTCGAGTGGATAATTCGCCTCGTTGTCCGGACGAGGGTTGACGTGACGCCAGATCAACGCCCTAAACAGAAAAGAACAGACGATTTCAAATATGAAAAGTTGCGGGTAAGATTTCGGTTTTTATTTAGATAATGGACCAACGTCGATTTTTAGGGAATTATTAAATATGAGAAATCACGGTTAAGTGAGTGAAATGATAATACAGCGGCACAGAAATGATTCAGAAATTATCTTAAACCACTGGAGTTACAGATAATATCAGATATGAAAAGTTGCAGTGCAACAAACGGAGATAGTTTGTACTATCATCTATTGGAATTGTAGCTCATAAAACAATAAACTTTTTGGTTTCAAGAAGATTAGTATATCTTCGTTGCCGAGATTAAAATTGTTCAGTTCTTGAAATTGTGCATCATTTTATAGCAGTTATTGTACATAGAGATTGCCATATAATTTGCTATTCTGTTTTCTATTCTATTTTCTGCATATTGTTTGAGATTGATAACGTGAGAAGTTAGTAGAATTCATACGTATATTTTCCAATGTGCATTTAATTTAATATTTACTTTTTCCTTGCATCAGTTGATGAAATAAAGTTTGCCATTCGCTACAGTCACTGCAAATTTGTATAAAAAATTGTAAAAGAAAAAGTAAACAGGGAATTGTGTTCTTGGAACCGTGAAATCAGTGATCTGTGTACGAAACTGATAACAGTTATTGCGGACATCGATATTATCAATCCGAACAAGTATATATTGGCAAATACTGTTTGGATAAAATTAACAGTCGTGCTTATTTGTGCGCGTGCGACGCGTTTACCCTAAATATTTAAAAAATAAAAGTTGTATGCTTAAATGTGTTACTTTATTACACGAAAGATTTTTATGTAAGATTTGAAAACACCAAGGATGGTAAATATGAAGAGTTAAAATCTATGATTTTGTTGAAAATAGTCGGACAATATGGAGATTAGGTTAAAAACTTTTTATGATTATAAGTACTAGATAGATATAGATAGATATATAACAAGCGTGTAGAACTTTAGGTGCATTTTTTATAGATCGACACATATGTACATGAAACAAATGATACGATATTGTCTTCTTTATCTAAGATTATCGTTCAACGCAGAATTTACGATTTTCTAATGATTTTTTCCAACTCAACACATTGTTAAGTCTTGTCTTAATAATCGCGATTTTTATTTTTTCTTTCTCAAGTCTTCATGGCCTCAAGTCTTAGATATTTTGAAATAATCTGTACTTCTTACTTCGTACTTTGCTTATTTTTCATTTTACTGATAAAATCGATCGCTAATTGCGTGTGTTACCGCGCGAGTTGCATCGCGAGCTGATAAGAGAGAAATTATTAGGAAAGAAAGCATATTGATACCAATTAAGGATTTCCCTAAAAGAAACAGAACGATAGTCAACACATTGCACACTTTCTACTTACTACTAAAAACCGATAGTAGATATCGCTTGTTCTCTTTTCTCATTTCGTTCATTGCATACTTTTTTCTTCTTTAACGAAGAATCTCTATATTTAACTTTATATTTGAGCTTCCTCAAAAGTAACGAAAGTTTGTAAGGAATAATACAGAGGAGATAATACAGGTCTCTTCAAATGTTGTAGACAATAAAGATGGCGGAGTATCACAAGTTAACCTATTAACGAAACTGTGAGAAATACATTCGATGAGACATGCATGTACAAATTTCTTGTCCATTCTCTGGAATATTCGTTCCAAGATAATAAGACACTGCTTTATTCCAAAGTATAAAAGCGTGAAGATTGAACATCTTTAAACAACTGAAATTTCCCGCCGTTTCTTTGAACTTCACTGTACATGATTTCTCTCTGTGTACAGGTCTTTTCAAATGTTGTAGACAGCAAAGATGGCGGAGTATCACAAGTTAACCTATTAACGGAACTGTGAGAAATACATTCGATGAGACACGCGCGTTCAAATTAAATTCAATTACCAGTTTAGATTACACAAAAAGCAAAACATGGATTACGAGTGAAAGTTTAGAATTTCTTGTCCTTTCTCTGGAATATTCGTTCCAAGATAGTAAGACACTGCTTTATTCCAAAGTATAAAAGTGTAAAGATTGAACATCTTTAAACAACTGAAATTTCCCGCCAACTTTCTTTGAACTACACTGTAGATGATCTCTCTCTGTGTATAGGTCTTTTCAAATGTCGTAGACAACAAAGATGGCGGACTATCACAAGTTAACCTATTAACGAAACTGTAAGAAATACATTCGATGAAACACGCGCGTTCAAATTAAATTCAATTACCAGTTTAGATTACATAAAAAGTGAAACATACATCGTGAATTAAAATTTCTTGTCCTTTCTCTGAAATATTCGTTCCAAGATAATAAGACACTGCTTTATTCCAAAGTATAAAAGTGTAAAGATTGAACATCTTTAAACAACTGAAATTTCCCGCCAACTTTCTTTGAACTACACTGTAGATGATCTCTCTCTGTGTATAGGTCTTTTCAAATGTCGTAGACAACAAAGATGGCGGACTATCACAAGCTAACCTATTAACGAAACTCTAAGAAATACATTCGATGAAACACGCACGTTCAAAATAAATTCAATTGCCAGTTTAGATTATACAAAAAGCAAAACATGGATTACGAGTGAAAGTTTAGAATCTCTTGTCCTTTCTCTAGAACATTCGTTCTAAAATATAGCGCAAAGGTTGAACATCTTCAAACGCTAAAATTTCCCGCCGTTTCTTTGAACCGATAGTGTAGATGATCTCAAGAGTGCCTCGTGACTCTGTGATCTATCACCGCGCGGAAATTTCTGATTTTCATTTGCATGCCTGCGCGGATCGCGGCTCGTTGATGCGCCTTGCACGCTCTCGCGCACGATAGTCACGAAGAGGAGACGCGGCTACTCGCGAGTCAAGCGTGGCGAAGTTAAGGATGCGACACGATGCACAAAAAACCGCCGCTCTGCCGGATGCAGCGTAGAGACCGTCGCCGTTTTCTTCGATTCGCTCGCTTACGTGTATATGAGCGTCTGTCTCCTCGGCGTATGCGCGCGTGTGTCGTGCATGCCCAAAAATCGAGAAACCGAGCCGCCCGTTCCGTCTGTATTTTTGTAGGTTCCGAATTATTTGAAATTCGAACGAATAAAACGAACCATCAGTCACTTGATATATTATCAAGTATCAAAAATCTACAAAATTTAATTTTGTAAGAAGTGATCAGTAACAATTATTATTTAAATTTTTAATATACATTCTTCATTCACTGCTAATGTCGTTGCCAGCGCTGAGAATCGGTTGTTAAGTCGGTTTCTATGTTATTCCTCTCACGAATCTCTCAATTATTGTTGAACAGAGTTTCTTCGAGTTAGAATAGTTAATTATTGAGATTTAGAATATTTAGATTAGAATATTTTATAATCGATGGATTCGTAAAACAAATAGTGTGCTTATTAGAATTCCTACCTTTCATGAACATCAGTTCATAAATCTTTGAATATTATATCATTCCTTGATATGATTTATTTTAATGTGTCAATTTGATATGACGTATTTTAATGCATCGTCCTCTTTGAATCCCCGCCCGGTAAGTACGAATTACGGAAATTAGATAATTTGTTACTCTAACAAATAACAAATTATTCAACAATTTTCGCGAGGATCAATTGCAATTATTCCACTCTTTGACGTGACTAAACATTATTTTTTTTCACATGACTCTGTTACGTTCATTGAGTCGTCTTCCTAATTCCATTCTTGCGTTATTAAAGTCGATCTTCAGTTCGCGATCCTCTCGAGTTACCTTCGGTAAGGTCGTCACAGAATTCACCATTCGCCCTTCGTTGTAACAGCCTTATTATACAGCGTTTCAAGCTGGCAGTATCTCCCCGATTCGTTAACATTCCTGGCGAGGAGCGTCTCTCGTTGACAAATA